CATTTTGGTTTCTTTACATAGTGGTAATTTATTTAGTAGTTTATTTTAAATTCTTTAGCTCCTTACTGAGTAATCTACTGACCTTTGTACAAAGCGGAATTTCGAAAGAAACTGAGTTAGGGTCTTTCTATATTCATGTGGTGGTTGGAAGTGGATGTGCTTAGTGACAGACATCAAAGCTAAGCTCCTTAAGACTTTATACTTGTGCTACAAAGCTCCTTTAATGATTCGTTAACATACTAGTGCAATAAAAACAAAACTCAGACGTGTTCGACTATTACAGCGAGGAAGGAAAGTTTTATATTCTCTTTCAGAAATATATGTTTCACCAATCAGTTTTAATTTTTATCAGCCATCCATCATCTTTACCAAATTTCATAATTCCCTGTTCCTAAGTACAATTAGAGCACATGTCCAGTTTCAGCAAAATCGGTTCAGGGTAACTATTATTTCCACCTGCCTCCATATAGTCGAAACACTGTGCGACCATAGAAAAATAAATCGAATCGATTCAGAAAAATATTTTGAACAACATATCGATCCGAAAACTGGGCTCGAATCGTAACATCCGTTCACGGATCGAAAACCATACGAGAGAGAATTACGTGATACCGCCAGTCGTATAAGATGAATGAGATAAAGAGTACGTTCACGTATGCCATAATCCGAAAAATGTGTTTTACGTGACGAGTAATACGATATCGTTTGTGACGATTCGAGCCCAGATTACCTGGGGGGTGTAAAAATTGAATAATGACGATTTTTCGAATATAGTTAATATACTAAAATGACTAGCTGTCAAATATAAGTAATATCTATTATTTTATTTTTTTGAAACACTATGTATATATTTAATACACAACTTTGTATTCGATAAAATTTTTTAATCGACGCGCATAAAACTTTGCTCTGACAATGCGATATTTTAACCCAAATTTGGAAACATTCTGGCTCGTCTTTGATGACTTCGGAATATGTATGTGCTATAGACTCTGCTAATTCTATTGCGCAGCTATTTCGATTGGCCGGAATTGCAAATGCTGTAGAACGATTGAAGCCATAAAACGACCATTTTTAAGTTTTCTCCCACAGATGAGATCAACACTACTTTGAATTCATTTCAGTAAAATTGTAGAAAATCGATTTGAACCGCCGTTGCCGAGATTTCATCGCATCTTTTAGAAATATGACGGGTTCTGTGCTGCCTTACAAAGTCATATTCTGGTTTCACATCATTTTTTCCCAAATAACGCCGAACTCTCTATTAAAGCATTGATCTTTTTGTAGTCGTTTATTTGAGTAGTCCACTTGCAAACAGCGTTATGTGATTTTATAATAGTAAGCCATAAAAAAAAAAAAAAAACGTCTACAACAACAAGTAACATCCAAATTGTATATTTCTTTTTATTATCAGAAAATTTGGATAAATAAGAGCCTAATAACATTAAAAATCAAAATCGCAGTGTAGTAGTTTTTGCAAATTTTATATATAGAAATTAAATATAGCGAGTTTTGAAACAGTAAGTTTTATATAGCCAGCTTTTTTAAGCTTTTCGCGTTCTCTCTTCCATGAAGGTTAGACTGCTTGTTTTTAATACGTCTTCCACGACTACCACGTTTTTCTTTCTAAGTTCATCAGAAGATGGAGACTTTTGAACTTGTATAAATACGTACAATAAATATTATAGCGACTTTTGAAAGTATATATATACAGACATTAAGTATTATAGCGACTTTTGCTAGAGTAGCTAACATTTGATGCTATTTTTTTCAGAATATATAACGATTTTGCAATGTATTGTTAGTGGACATGAAACTACTTTAAATACTGGTACGATAACCACCAACAACTAAAAATCGAAAAAAATTTATATAGCGCACTTTGCAAGTGGACTACTCATTTCATGAAATGAATTTAGTGTACCTTCAATCAGAAAGTATTGTATCGATGATATCAAGGCGAAAAAATATAAGGTGGTATCGATTGAACAAATACAACAATTACTTGTATTTTGTTTTTGCTTTTAGCGGGCCATTGACAAAATTCAGCTATTCTTCCCCGAATGAAAAAGGGCGACAGAAAATGCAAACACTCTCACGTTCTCACTCACTCACTAACGAAATTCAAAATTTTGACAATCAAACGCTACCCACAGCTGATGAAACAACACCACCTTATATAAATTCGCCTTGGATGATATTTAAATTTTCATTGCAGCAACGTTAGCAAAATTTAAATTTATTGAAAACAAACGAATTTCATAATCATTCATGAAATGCTGTCATTAAACGAATCTGAGTGCGGCTATAAAAGTTCTGTTAGATTTTTCATCTTGAACATGATGTTTTTGCAGAAGTATAAAGAACATATAAAATCGAAGTCCAGTAGCTTTTTGTAGAGACCAAATACGCCGGATCACATACTGCTATCAAAATGCTGCGAGTATTTTACTTCCTCTAATATATGCAAGCAATCCCGAAGGATTTGACAGATTTAGCTCTGAATGTCCACCGCTTTTTTGATACATTTTTCAATTTCAAAGCGTTTTCTTGATGCCGTGGCAACCGCTCGTATTTTATTGTAGAGAATCGAAACCTCCCTCATACCTTTCTAGTTGATCTAAGTGTGACGTTCAGTCGAAGTCACTAGGAGAGATTTATTAGGCCGTAGACTTTTCAAAAATATGGACAGATATAAAATATGTATACTCAGATAGATACATATTAATATGAGGTATGCACCGCGACTTCGTGATCTATTGTGCCCTCTACTCTTCACAATGTTTCTTCTAAGCCTAACAGCCGTCACAAACCTTAGCTCATCACTACTGTGATTTCTGCTGCACCTTAAAGTTTACCGCTGCAAAAAATATGCCCCTACAACACAAATTTTTAAGTTTTTAAGCACCTAAAATCGAATTGCTGTAGCGCACTACAAATCACAATAGTGATGAGCTAAATTAATCATTGAGCCTATACTCCTCTCACGTGTTCTGCAAACGGCGTCACACTCATCAAGGATTTTGTAATGAGGTCTTTTTGAGGGTATTTTAACCCTCCAAATATAAAAAAAAAAACTTTAAATTACGTGCGCTATGCACTGATGCGTGAATCGACTGTATTTAAAATTTATGTCCTCAAAGGTCTATAGTAAAATTTATCGAGCGATTCCCAGAAGATAATTTGGGAAGACCTTCTTAAGTAAAGCCATTCTAAAAGCCCTACTCAAGAAGGGCTGAAAAAAGTGCTTGCCTACATGGTTTCTAGAAGGCCTTTTTCCATTTACAATTTACACGAATGCGTAAATTTACATACATATATTATTTAACATTACAACTGAATTTAAATATGCATTTTATATTACAACAAAACATATTTGATAGAACCTTAAATAAATACCTTAAAGGAGTATGATTTTTATGAATTAAAGAAGCGGCTTTATAAGAACTCCTCCAAAATACGTCCTACAAAATCCCTTCTGGAAGCCCTTCTATGGGTAGCGAAAGCAGAAGGCCTTCAACTTGTGCCACTCCATCCAAAAATAAGAAAAGAATGTAGATTGGAAGGCCTCTAGACTATCAAGAAGGCCTTTTGAAAGGCTTATGCTCCTGAAATTACCTGCTGGCTTTTTACTTAGAATGTTTCAACCCTTTAATTCCTAACAAAATGGCTTTTTTGACACTTTTTTTTTAAGATGTTTGTTAATAATGGCAGTTGTTGGTTGAATTGCTCTACAAAGGCGTTCGCCGTTGTGTTTGCAAATTTAACAAAAATCACTAAAGGTGATGAATTTGTAGAGCTCATTATAGTATCCCAGCAAACATTTGGAGTCATAAATGAGTCTTTAAGGAGTCCCATTTCGGAGCGTTTGTGCTCATTATGAGCTCATTTAAGAGTCCGAAATGAGGGTGTTTCCCTTCCTGCGAAGGTCGGCCTATATGAGCTTAAATTCATACATCAAATGAGCCTCAATATGAGTCATATTGGACTCTTATTGGCCTCATATACGGCTCATTTTGGACTCTTTTTGAAGCTCTTAAATGACTCTTATTGGCCTCATAAATGCCTACTTTCGGAGCTCCTTGTATGCTGTTCTGTGACTCCTATTGGCTTTATTCTTCAACTCTCTTAATGAACTTACTTTAGAGCCATGTTAGCAAGGAATTCATTTCAAATACTGTTGGATATTTATATACAAACCTCTGCGCATACATATATACATATGTTCATATATTGCAGCATTCATGTAATAGCAGTTGCTGCAGCTAAATTTTGTTTATTTTTCCTTCCTAATTATTTTTCATATCTGTATAAACAAGTTTAGATATAAATTTCTAGTCGTTATTGTTTTTATACTGGCACAAAGTGCTGGCTCATAACTTGGATCATATATGACTCCTAAAAGATTCATATAAGAGTAAAAAAATGTTTGTTTTTGAAACTCATATTTCTTACTTACCTAGGACTCCTTTCCGACTCATATATTCTGAGCGCTCAGAATATGTTTGCGGGGAAGTATTCTTTTATGTCACAGAGACAAAGAAACGGACTTAAAAACTTATTGCCGGTTAAGTAGGCAAGCAGTTCGCATGACTCGTAAGCTCCTTTTGGGTAAGTTTTTTTTTTTTTTGATATGCACTGATAAGCTGGCTTGACGTCTTTTTCGAGGTTGAATAGTTGAGATTTTCCTAGACTTAGGTTGACCTATTTATAACGTTTCAACATATATTGTACTTTTCTTCTATCGTCTATAAGAATTAGTTATACAACATATAAGCGAAAACTCCAATTCACCTCTGTGGGTAAGCTATTCTAGTGTTGTAAGTAAAAAACATAACACGGCAAAATATGTAAAAAAAACCAAAGAATGATAGAAAAATACTGAAAGTATTTAAAACTATTACTTGGCATTAAAACTCTTATATTAAAAATAATTTCAGCAAAATGAGCCCTCTTACAGAACATTCGTTTATACATTTTTTCTGCTCTCTCTTCCACAGCGTAAATTTTATATTTGTAAGGACTCACACACATATAAATACATCTATAAATATATATAACCTAGTTTATAAGGACACACTGGAAGCGAGTAAATCTGGTTTGAATGACCACACTCAGTTGCGTGTATGAAATAACTCCTCAACTCATTTGTAAGTATGATTTGGAAGAAGATGCTTGTACGTACGTACCTATTGTAGTGATCAATGCAAAATACTCAAATTAAAAAAAAAAAAAATTAAAACCTTTAGAAGAAGCAAATCGTCGATGTTTTTGCAAAAACCGCCCGAGATTTGTTAACGCTGAATTGCAGGCATCGAGATTTATGCATAAAAACAACAGATTTGTAAAATAGTAGTAAATAGAAGCCCGTTTTTTCGCTCTCCTGTAAAATTTGAGTGCCGGAAGATAGGCGGCATTTCCAGAAAAGTATCTTTAAAGGCCTTCTTTCTGCATTGATAACGACGATACGTATGTATGTATGTATACAAGTTAATATATGTAACTAAGAACATACTGATTTTTTTATTTACTCTTTGCCTCTTCTCCAGTACCTTTTAACTACAATTTTAAAACGTTGAAGCGTTTTTTTGTTTGGGTCCAAAGGAATAATCCCTACACCCAGCATTGTCTCATCGTTGGATCTTGCCGTTGTGAACTGCTTTTTGTCGCTTTTTTCCGTCACGCAGTAAGGACAATTGTGCTTGAACGGATGTTGCTGGCATTATGACTTATTGGCCAAACAGTAGTTGGCAACACTTTAAACCTCCCCTACATACCAGTAGAAACACCTTCTTCTTCTCTTAAGCAACTGTACTCGGATAACAATTCGCAATAATTGTTATTTAACTCTTTTTTTTTGCAGCGATTTTGCAACTCAACAGAAAGAGAAAGTATGAGGCAAGCGCTGTTGTCGCACCATTTCACAAGAAAAAAAGAACAAACAACCGCAACAACAACAAGAAACAACTGAATTTTTGTTTATTTGATTTTAGGCTTTTCATATCATCACTCGACAATGAGTGATGACCGACCAACACAGAACATGACTTGACTCTGGTTTTGGTTATGGCCTACCTACACTATATCTCATGAACTCATACAGTCATTATTTACAATTAGTTAACTAAATACTGCTAAAGGATATAATTTTTCTACTACACTTTTCGAAGATAATGAAAAGCCAGCAAAGTTGTCTTTTAATAACAACCGCCACACACCCCTCACCACTCTACTCTACTCCACTTCACTTCACCCAAATCCACTTCGATTCGATACCAATTAAACTCGACTCGTCTCAACTATAAAAGTTAAGCTCGCCTGTTTATTGAAATTAGAAACAAGTACATATATTGAAAGTGTTACTTAATGCTGAAAAAACGAAAAAAGCAAAGATGAAGCAACAATGAAGCGAAAGAAAGTTTGAAAACTGGAGAGAAAAAAGGTAAAGAAAAAATTTAATAATCATTACAAAAAAAGTTTAAAAATATTCCCAAATTACATTTTATGCATAATTTACATTAAAAATAAAATAAATAAAAAAAGTTTCAAAAATAAAGCGCAAAAAAAGATTACAAAAAAATATAAAGCATTTGTAGTTAATTCATTGAAGCGTCGTTAAGTGTTGTATTTGCTGAGAAAAGCAACGAAGTTTGTAAGTAGGTAAAAAAGTATGGGTTTTTGTAACGAAGTTGTTTGGTATGATGCTGCTTGGAAAAGCATAGCTATTTTTAGGCCTTTTAAAGAGCGAGCTGCTTGCGGACAAAGCAATAGAGAAAATTCGAAAATTGGTAAGCACTTTTTATAGGAATAATTGAAAAGGGTTTAGATAGTATATCGTATTATGTATAATAATAATGGAGTCTACTGGCTATTGGACTGCTGCAAAGATTTTTACAAAAATGGTGTTAGACTTTAAAAAAACGGCAGTTGAGATCTACGCTGGCGGTCAGAACTGGATGAATGGTGATATTATATGTTGTTTTAATATTTACAATGTTTTCAAGTAAACATTTTTTTGTTATTTTTTTATAAAAAATATAACCGAAACCATATAAATAAAATTTTCAAACTTTATAGAGAATTTAGAAAAATTCCACAAATTTTCATCAAATTTTTTTTAACATTTTAATCAGATTTTGTATAAAATTTTTGAGTAACAAGGCTTATGAAATGTTGTAAAATAAGTGCAATCTTTCAGCGGTTTGAATTTCAATAATTTTTTTGTTGACGGTATATTGCACTTATACGAATTTCTTGTGGAAGGAAATGCGCAACAATTTTTCCAAAATAATTCAAGAACGTCTACATCAGTTTTTATTAATTGCACTTTTTATATGAAAAAAAAAAAACGCAAAATCCGTCAGCAGAAAAATACTAAAAAAGATTACACGGTTTTTAGCGGCTTAAAACTTGCACTCATTTCTGCTAGAATTTCATAAAATTCAGACTAAAAAGCTCAAAATTTTTATGAAAATTTATGAAAATTTTCTAAATTCTGTATAAGGTTTGAAAGTTTGATTTATATGGTCTCGGTTACAGCATGAACCATATTTTTATTAAAAAAGATAACAAAAAAAATTGTAGCTTGAGCAAACATTGTAAATATTAAAAAAAAACGTCATTCCTCCAGTTTTGACCGCCAGTGTAAGCTAATAATAAACAAGTAAGTCTGTTTTTTTTTCAATACCCGAAAAGGTACAACAAATCTATCACAGACTGCCTAGATTGCTTACTTTCATACCTCCAAAATTTAAGCCGGTCATATGCCGAAAATCGTCTAACAATATTTACGGCGTATTCAATGAAACATCGCATGTTTGTGCTTTATTCTCTTTGTTTTTCGATCAGTGGTGACCAAAGGGAGCCTGTGCACATGCAGCATGAATTCCCGAGGCAGAAGCTTTATTTCTTTTTTATCGGTTATTGATGCCGTCTTGCCAGCTTGTCACTACATTCATACATATGTATGAACGAATGGAAAACTTATAAAAGCTCGTCATATGAGTGTAATTCTGTTGCCAATAGTGAAATCACGAAAAAGCTTTCCCCTATCATAAATACTCTTTTCTCAGCCTAAATCAATTAAATGAATAGCTACGAAAATGTGACGACAAATAACTATTTATTAGAAGTGCTTTTCCTGCACATGATGAGATTTTTGCGAATATATCTATAAATATAAATACTTGCTAACTATCAATCCAAATTGCTTTCCTGCTGTTTTGAAGCTATTTGAAAAGCCGCATCAAATTACTAAAATGGAGAAAAAATTTAGTTCAACTTAGAGCAGCGATGGACAGAGAGTGCTTTTACTCTGCACAGATGTATAGAAAGCTTAAAAAAGTTCAACGCGCGGCAAGGCGGTGCCTATCACTGTTTGATAAAAAGTTCAGAAATGAGCATTTATATTAACATTTTCTATAAAATTTTAGAAAAGAGCTAGGAACCCCAAAAAGTGACAACTTGCAGTTAGAGCATGCCGCCCAAAATGTACATCAGTGATGCTCAGAGAGCTTTTACTCTGTGCATGGCCATATAAACTGTAGAGAGAGCGGACGTTGTTTTGGGTATCGCTACGGTGACCATATTTATAGGAGCCGAATACGGGACAAAAAATAATTTTGCAAATTTTCTCCACAAATGCTAACAGATATTAAAACCTTCGTCAATGATCCTAGATGTATTAGCCCTGAAACAGCATCCTTATAGTAACATCATAAATTTGTTGGATATTTTTCTCGGGAGTTTTTACCTCGCAGAATTTGTAACAAAAAAATCGTAAAATTTTTTTTATATATAAATAAAGTGCAAGTTTGAAGTAGCTACCATTAATTGTTGGCAATTTTATGTTAACGGTGTTATGCATCTTTTTCATACAAAGTAAGTATGTTGGACAATTTTTTTTTATAGGGAAGCAAATGTGCAGCACCTTGTACTTGCACTATATTATACTCAATTTTAATGAGCTACAAAACTGCAACGAAATGATTTTTTAACGATTCTGATTAAAAAGTTTGAAATTTTGGTGAAACTGCGGAATTAATTTTTATAATTTTTGCACAAAGTCGGAAATTTGGATGTATATAGATTTTGTTAAAAAAGAGCTTTACTTTCATAAAAAATAATAAACATTAAACAGAGAAAAATAGCAAAGCCTTTCTAAAATGTAGAGTCCTAATTTATATTTTTTGGTCACTGTATGTGTTCCTCGATTGGAATCACAGGCACTCAGATTATAAAATAATATCTGTTTATGGATAAAGTTACGATTATATACCAACATCATTTCAAACTGGTTCATAACCATACTTAAGGCGTCGAAATACCGAACACCGAATACGGGACAAATACAGGACATTAAATCAAAAACAGGACATTTGGCGTCCCGTATGAACTAAATAGTTTACCAGGACAATTGGTCAAAAAAGAGGACTTTCCCGTATAATACAGGACAGATGATCACCGTAGGTATCACTGATGTACTACATAGAGCACGGCTCAGTGGTGTGACCACAAAATTGCAACCCTGTGCTTTCTGGATCCTCGAGATCTACTGAAATGTTGCAGACATCCAGTATTAAAAATTTTTATGTTACATTTGTTTTGCCAGTGATGAGCAAGAGAAACACTCAACTTCTTGCGTAGAATGTGATGCTCTTTTATAAAAAGTAACACTGCCTCATATATTGCAGCTCGAATATACCCTCTTTCTCTGTTCTCAAATGATTTAGAGCAGTGATGGGCACTGCCTCGACCGAGACAAAGCTATTTTAAGCTTTCTTTACATTTTATATAGGCGCGTGCTGAGTAAAAGCTCTCTCTGTCCATCGCTGATTTAGAGTTTTGACTCAGCACGTGCTTATACAAAATGTATATAACACTGATGGGCACTGCCTTCCCTGCGGATAAAGCTATTATAAGCTTTCTATACATTTTGTACAGGCGCGTGCTGAGTAAAAGCTCTCTCTGCCCATCGCTGGTATAGAATGCTTAATGGAGCTTTGCCCGTGGATCCATCACCGATTTAGAGTAACGATGGACACTAGCTTGTCCGCGTGCAGAGCTTTTTTAAGCTTTCTATACATGCATTTTATGTTGATGCTATTACTGTTGAAAACTCTTTCTGCTTATCATACAACTAGAGGCTACTCGAAAGGGGTTTTTCATGCTCAAAAGCTTTATAAAAGTGGAAATGGCGCTGCTTGTCAGAAAGAAAGTCTCAGTATTTTTGCAATAGTATTTAGGCAGTGGTAAGCTGTCACCGGCTCTCAAAAGCTAGACCATTGCTAAGTGCGTTCCATTGATGTTTTAAGCTAAATATTGAATATATTTTTATTTTTGTTATTTTACAAATTTTACGTATTTATCATGCTATGTAATTTAGTTTCAGTTTTTTTAACTTGTTAATATTGCTATAACTTCGAGATTTCTCAAACATAATTAAGAATTTCCAACTCTTGATTTATACTTACCTTTTTTATATCACTTAAAAAAAATATTTTTCTTTGATTTAATTTATTTCTTTCTTTACAATTCAACGCCCCACACTATTAGTTTTTATTGCTACACATTGCATTTAATACGAAACATTTTTTTCTGGTCTTTTTTTATAAAAAACAATAAAATGTACGTGAGATATTTTATAAAATGTAATGTAAGTTTTAACAAGTTAATTTTTTTATTTTATATATATACTATTAATTTAGTGCCTTTGGGTTTTGATAAAATATCGCCTAATTAACACAAAAATTTGAAAAATTAGGGTATGTATACAAATATCGTTTTTTAATTCCTGATTATTTTGTAATCTGGATAAAGATATGATTTTATTTATCGGTGTATTTTATAGCTGATTTAAAATTGAATTCATATAATCAGAGAGGTGTAAATACCTACATACATACATCATACATAAAAAAAAAAATTTCAAACCCAGTAAAATAATTTATTATGAATTTTTTATTTTTAATATTTTAGTTTTTTTTTAATTTAAAGTACTTAAATATTTTAATGAAAACCTAAGTTTACGTTTTTTTGAAATAAAAAGTGAATATTATTTACATTCATTTTGTATTTTTTTAAATTTAAAGTGCTTAAATATTTTAATGAAAACTTAAGTTTATATTCTTTGTACTAAAAATGTGAATAAATTTAATGCACTATAAAATTTATGATAATTTGTGTATTATTATTAAGAAACTTTAATAAATTCTGTAAGAAATTCGAAATAAAATTTGTGCTTTTTTTTTACTAAAAAAAATAAAACAAAAAAATTGTTATATGCATTCTACTGAAGAAAAATTTGCTAAAATGTACATTATATTTAATAATTTAGAAAAAAATATGTTTTTCTCATACAAAATGCATGAAATTTAGAC